CCATGGCCACAGGAAATTAAAGATTAAACAGAGGCCCACGGTCACCACAAACACACTGCTCAGCTGGGATCACTACTCAGAGACCAGCAGTGGGTGATGGATGATGCCTCAGTAGTCTCACACGTGAGAGAAAACCCTCCATCACAGCCCTATATCTCCGGGAATCGGTGCAAAACAGGCTGTGCCTTCTCTTATCCCAGTCTAAAAATTTGTCAGGAGCTAAGGAAACCTCTTTGCAATAAGCATCACCAAGAGTCTGGAAGCTTTGCTCTGCCAAAGATTGCTTTTTGAGCAGTCTTTTTGCCTCAGTACAACCTCCACAGAAGCTTGCAGAGGACAAATGCTAAGGGTTTAGGGATGGGAGGAGGCAGACCTGCTTGCTCAGTTGCCTTTCAGAGCCAGGAGCATGAAATATGCTAATCCTGCCCATCTATGCCAAGCACTGCAGACCCAGAACCACTGAATGCATAATAAAATTTCCACCCAGCCTTAACCAGAAGTGAAATGAGCACCACAGCCTCAGCTACTGGATTCATGCATGCTGGAAAAACAGATCTCCTACTCCCCAGAAGAGTGGACATGAACCAGTGACCTGCATCTATAATCCATCACTCTCCGCCTCCCCATTGCCCTCAAGCCATCCAGCTTGCCTGAATTTTTCAGAGCCCTTCTACAAGGAAGTCACAAAAGCAGAAAATCATGATACTGCAAGGCAAAATCCCAGCTGGAGCCAAAGGGCATGGGGCAGGTGGCTTCACAATGACCTGGCTGACCCTCAGCTGCTCTCAAAATTGTTGCCCTGATTATACTAATCCAGTTAAAGGCCAATGCTTCCTTCACGTGAATACAGCTGACAGCTCATCCCTCAAAACCATTCCCTGAAAAACCCTTAAGCAGAATCCCTCCTCATCAGACACCGTGCCAGCCATCAACACTTCCTGAACCCCCTTCCACCTTTGACAGACACCAAGTTTCTCTTGTCCACTGTGTTGCTGAGCACAGACAGGCACCAAAGGCCCCAGTGTAAGCCAATAAGCTCAGTCTGTTCCATGAGAGCCTGCCACATTGCACTTGAGAGCTGATCCCCCTCCCCAGTCACTTGGAATGTCAGCGGCCAGGAGGTTTTTATTGCAGGAGTCTCAGCACAGGTCATGTTAAGCTGCAGAGGTCAGCGGGAGGTCTGTAGTTGGGAAGAAGAGAGACTGATGCTAACAGCAAACTTTTATTCAATTTATGCTAAGGCAAAAGACAGCCAGCCAGGCTGCCTGCCCCAGAGAACGCCTTGCCAAGACACAAAATATTCCAGCCCTTCCTGTTTCCCCAAGGTTGCAGTGAGAGCTGTATCTTTTACTACCACGTTTGGGAAACTGGCCTCTCGGGCAGCAGACTACAACCACCAGCATTTGAATGTACAGCTCAGGAGCTCCCAAAAGTCAAATCAGATGCTTAAAACAAAGAGTAGAAACCACAGTATGAGCATTGTTGCCGTGTCTCTCCAAGCACAGGTGCCACAATCAGCCTTTGTCAAGGCTGGAGCTCCAGACAGCAGCGTGGCAGGGCCAGTTCCAATGACTGGCACAGATGTATTGCCTTTTATGTCTTTATAGCACTACTCAAAAAAAAATTCAATAAAAACACTTTAGCCACTGTAAATTTCCAGAGCAAATTTTCCAGAGCTTCACACTGCTGGGGCAGACAGAGTTCAGGGTCCTCCCCTCCACCTCTCCCTTTTCTCTCCTCACAAAGGATTCAAACTGGCAGAAAGATTAGGAGCCACTGGCAAGGATGCCCAACCCTGGGTTTTTCCTGCTGCTGCTAACAACTGATGGCTCTCAGAGATTGCAATGGATCAAGGTCTAAGCCTCAGTCCTAGCAGACAGGTATCTCCTTCACAAAGGCATTGCCACACTCTTCAGCCCTTTGGAAAGGCAACAACAGGTACATCCTCCAAAGGTGGGCAAAGTTTGCACAACTCCAAAAGACCTCCTCAGAAACGCCTCCCGTGCAGTTCTGCTTGCCTGCACGCAGCCACAAATGCCGCTCAGGTCCAAGAGCCCATTTCCAACAAGCAGCCAAGAAGAGGGTGTAGCCCTTCCCAAATTTAGCTGCTAGTAATGCATCGGATCACAAGAAATGTGAGACAGAGATCAAGCAGAGTCCAAGAGAATTTATTGTATTTGCTTTAGAAGTAAGTAATTAAAATAATGTTTCTAGGATTTTTTTTTATCACCAAAAGGCTCACAAATAAGACCTCTGGTAAAAAAGATCTACTCACATAAAAATGAGCAATCTCCTGAGGCAGGTCAAAAGAGCAAACAGCAAAGGTTACTTTGTGAAAAGCAAATACATCACAGATATTTGGGAGGTGAACAAAAACGCAGGCAGAGCAACTCAGGCCACAGATTGCAACTAACCCCAAAACCTTCAGCAAATAACTTACAAGAGGTTTACTGACCACAGTGGTCAGAACATCTACTTTACCGCTCATGGAAAAATGGTTCTGTAACTCCAGGCTGCAGCAGCAAGGTCTAGTTTATAGTAGGAAAAGTGTGCTTTGAGAGTGCATTTCGCACCCATAAACCCCTGTCCACAAAATAAACTCAAGCAGCTGAAGCAGTTTTCACCTGCAAAATGCCATCTATATCAGGCCTTCAGCTGATATAAATGCTTTCAGAGATAAGAAAGGAAAGTAAACACACAAAGCAAGACTTCCTGCAGCACCTAGCTACAGCCATCAGATTTTCACTACCATCGTTGCACTGAAATGCACTTTTTAGAGGAGTTTATTGAGACCACTCCAGAAGAGGAGGATGACCCTGTCTCACAGCAGTCCCAGCTACCTGTAGACAGAGAGAACTTGGACACAATACCTCCACTCCTGAAGGAGAGCTGGTGAAGAACAAAGTACTTAAACCGAAACGATGTTCTTCACTGTTAATGAATGACTAAGCTGACCTTTACCCCAAATGAAGAAAGGGAATGTTTTTCCAGAAGGATCAACAGTGATTTCTCTATCAGGAGCAATAAATATTTCCCTAGGTGTGGAAGGTGATGCATTTCTTTCCTTGGTTGGCATTAACACACAGCATGAAAAGACCTAATCCAAAGCATAGCTCAGTTTCAACACTTCCAAAATAAAAACAACTGATGCCATTGAACTGCGCGACACATGCCTGAGACTTTGCAGAGCATGGCTCAAACCTCATCTACTTTGCACGCCGGAGCTGCTCTGGGATTCTACTTTAATCCCATTGCTATCATGTAACAACAAATCGTTGTAACAGGACACTCTTGAAGCTTAATCCACGCTATACCATAGGTACAAATTTACCACGGACTGGTTGAGTTATATTGCAACCCTGTAAATATACTTCCATTCGGCGTGTAAGCGACATTAGCGCGGTCCACTTAGTTCACTTCAGAAATGAACAAAGACAAATCAAGGCTACCTAAATTCTGAATATGAGCATCTACACAGGGATTTAATTCACTTTAATCAACCCACAGGAAAGGTTAATTGGATTCATTTTCTTGAGTAACCATGTGTGGACAGACTCTTAAGATGAGATCTTGACCACACTAAAATGACCAATAACAACTTTGCAAATGACTTAATAGGGACAACATTAACCCCTAAAACTTCAAGTTTCTTTCCAGGAGCACTGACTGAAGCATTGAAGGATGACAAGAGGTCAAAAGTAACACCCAGCTGCCTGCACAGACATATGTTTTCTACTCTTGACCAGCTGAATCATCAAATTCACACTTGCTATTTTGTAAGAATTGAAATTTGAAAAAATTTAAAACAAAAAAAATTAACAATGGCAAGGGAAAAAAGTTTAAGGAATTTTGGTTGTTTTAGGCAGGCACACAGTGCTCTCTACTACCAGGGCGTAAATCTAAACTAACTTGATTATAACAGTGCTTCTACTGGTTTATATCACAAATCACTGTCAGAAAGAACAAACTATCTCGTGCAAAGCTTTTTAAACCCAAAGCAGCTCCAGGGCACGTTTAATTGAGCTCAAAAGCACACGTGTGAGGCAGACACTCAGCTAACAGGGAAGCCAAGGCCAGCCTGGCCCAAGGGAAGGTGAATCCGTGCTCTGAGCACAGGCCAAGCCAGCGGGACCCCTGGAAAGCGAGGGGGGCACTCCCCGCCCTGTGCTCCGGCAGGCACGGGGGGTCTGCAGGGCGGGGCGGAGCTCCAGAGCTCAATGCAGGGCAGTCTTCATAAAAACCACTGGGCTTAAGTATTTTTAACCGGGGGGACCTCAACATCACCAGTCCCCCTCAAATTGTTGAACATTCACAGTTCTGCTCCCATTTTTTCAACGCCCCGAGCGGAACCTCCACACGCGGCCGAGGCATAAGTGCGAGGGACGTGTCCGCACGTCCATCCCCCGCGGGGTCTCCCGGCTGTCTCACCGCCCGCGGGAGCGCAGCCCGGTGCCCCCATCCCGGCTGCCCGGGCGCGGCGGGGGCAGCGCGGCAGAGGCGCCGGCGGCGGCCTCGGCCCCGGCGCAGACAAAGGGCTGCGCCCTCCCCCAGCGCCGCTCCTCGCCTGCTCCCGGGGGGAAGCGGCGCTTCCAACCCGCCCCCCGCCGCTCACGCCGGGAGGGGAGAGTCGGTAGCGGGGCCAGGCTTTCAGTCCAGAGAGCGCTGCTGCTCCCCCGGCGGCCCCCCCGCCTTCCCTCCGCTCCCGCGACCCGCACGGACCCCCGGACATCCCGCACGGGGGCACCGGGACGTTCCCGCAAGCCCCGGGGAGCCCCGCGCAGCGGCCGGAGCGCCCCCGTCCCCTCCCGCTGACCCGGCGCCTCGGCACCGCCCCGGCGCTCGGAAATTGTAAAACAATAATATTGGGGAAAAACCCCAAACAAATAAAAAAAAAAAAGCAAAACCCAAGCATTTCTCCCTTAGTTCCCCCCACCCCCCCGATGTCCGCCAAACAGCCCCGTCCCGTCTAGCGCCCCTATGTCCCCCGGGGTGACCCGCACCTTCCTTGACTCCGGGCAGCTTGGAGTGGTCGATGCCGATGCCGGCCATGGCCTCGCCCCGCCCGGCGAGGGCAGCGCCGCGGCGGTGCCCCCGCGCCCCGCACCGCCAAGTTGCGAGCGGATGGAGCCGGCGCGGCCGGGCCGTACGGCGCGGGAGAGCGGACAGAAAGCGCCGGGCGGGGCGGAGCGGGGCCGCCTCGCCGCCCCTCGACCCCTTCCGGGGAGGCGGGCGGGGGCGTCCCGGGCGGCTTCCCCCTCCCCTCCGCCGGCGGGGCGCGAGGAGGAGCCCAGCGGGACGGGGAGGCTGCGAGGGCGTTTATTTATAGTTCACTTTTTTCTTTTTTTTTCTTTTTTTGCTGCTTTGAGAAGGCGTCTGGAGATCCCCTCCTAGTGTCGGGCCGGCTTGTCAGACCGCTCGGACAGCCCGGATCCCCCGTGCCGGATCTGGCTGCCTCTGCCCCATTATCCCCATCCCAAAGCCATCCCACCCCCTTGTTCGCTGCTGTCCCGCCGACATGGGAAACGCAGGCGTGTCCCGGTCGAGCCTCAGCGGAAACTGCTCAGCGGTGTCACGGTCCCTGCACCTCGTGTCTCAGGGGGAGGGATGGTCAGTTTGTCTGTTGGGACGGGCGCCTCTCGATCAGGGCAGTGCAGGCGACAGATTCCTCGTCAAGAAGCACCTTGAGAGGCCTTTAAACCCCACTAGTGCTCTGCCACGTGCGGGTTAGTGCCAGCCTTCAGCACAGACGGGAGGACTCACAGCCGCAGCCCACCTTTGTTTACCAGCAGCAGAGGAACAGCATGAGATGATGTCCCGTTGACAAAGGAGAGGAGATAAGAGGAAGAGGATTTGGGGTTTAGGGATGTCTGAGCTTCTGGTCTGTGTTCAGCAAAACCAGTCACTCATGTCAACTGTTAAGTGCTTTGATCATAACTGTGTAGCTGAGGACTGTGCAAGCAGAAGATGATCAGTATTGCCACATTTGAAATGAGTGGCCTCCAGCTCCTATTCTAATGGCCCATGGCCCCTGTGCCACTGGGGAGTAGGGGGATACACGGGCCGATCCCATTTTCTGCTCCACCTCTCCAGCAGGCTCCAGGAAACTGTACCTTGGGCAACTGCAACAGGAGCTGAGTGTGAGACAGAGTGGGATGTCTGATCTCAGAAGAAGACATCAAAGGCAATAATATTTCAATTTTATTAAAAAGCAAAACCATTAAAGAAACTGACTTTTTTAAAAAAATAAATATTTCCAGAGGATTAGCCTTGTGCTACTCCAGAATTTTCCAGTCCTATTTTCTGAAACTCAGGAACTGTCTGTCCTTAATTCTGTTCTTTCAAATGGTGCTTCAAAAGCAGGTATGCATAGACTGTCTTTAATCTGACTACCTTTATCTTCCTTTCGACCACTCAGCCTTCTCCAGAGAGAGAGTCACTGAACTATAGAATCACAGAATATGCCGAGCTGGAAGGGACCCACAAGGATCATCGAGTCCAACTCCTGGCCCTGCACAGGACAATCCGCAAGAGTCACACCATGTGCCCAAGAGTATCATTCAGACGCTTCTTGAACTCTGTCAGGCTTGGTGCTGTGACCATGGCACTGGTGAGCCTGTTCCAGGGCCCAACCACCCTCTGAGTGAAGAACCTTTTTCTAATATCCCACCTAAATCTCCCCTGGTGCAACTTCAGACCATTTCCTTGGGTCCTGTCACTGGTCAACAGAGAGAAGAGATCAGTGCCTGCCCCTCCTCTTCCCCTCACGAGGAAGTTGTAACTACAATGAGGTCTCCCCTGAGTCTCACCCACCGCATGATGTGTTTATCCAGCTGTGTGCTGGACAGTTTGTCCAGAAGGATATGATGAGAGAGAGTATCGAAAGCTTTACTAAAATCCAAAAAGATTACATCAACTGGCTTCCCTTGATCAACTAGGTGGGTTACCTTGTCATAAAAAGAAAGCAGGTTTGACAAGCAGGACTTTCCTCTCATGAAACGTCCCTTCTCACATACACACACCTAGCACACCTCTCCTGTGTGCTGACACACTGAGAGCTGATGAGCCTTCTGCCTAGAAGGCCACAGTACTCACTTACTGGGAGGTGAATGGTGCAGGGATGACCCACACTACACAGATGGGGATTAGTCTCAGGGTCTTGCCCCTCCAAGGGGCAGCTCACACAGATTATCTCCTGTCACAGTCCTAGCTCTGCCCTGTTCCTTCCTCTAATCCCTCTGCTATTCACACAAGGACTTCATGCAAATAATCCTTGTGGTTACAGCCAGCTCTGTGCTAAGGAAAGGTCTGAAAGTCCATTTCTAGCTTCCTAAATTAGAGTTTTTCTGAATTCAGTGTATTCCTCTGGACATCCTTCATGTTTTACTAATCCAGCTTTTTGATCACTGAATAAGATTTATTATTGGACAAAAATAAGGACATAAGAAAAGGCCAAGAAACCAGGAATATACAGGAGAATTGGCACAGAATGTACTGATCTGACACAAGTCACAGCTTTCCAAATTGGGAATATAGTTTTCTCCTGCCTTTCCTGAATACTTCTCTCTGAAAATGTTCAAATCAGACCAATAGAAGATGAAATCCAGGAGCATTCACATTTATACAGCAGCTTTAATGCAACAGAGCCACCTTTATGACCCTACATTTATGAACAAAGCTTTAAAGCTGTCCATTCCAGTGATCATGCACTTTACTCCACACACACAGCTCTTTGCTTTAGTCTTCAGTAATGAATTTGTATCATATTAAGTTGCCTGTCTAGAGACAAAACCAGCTACATGAATTAGTTATAATCTGCACTGCATTCAAGAAATGCCATGTTGGACTGATGTGACTTTAGCTGCTGTTATGGGGCACACTGTTTTCCTGGCTGTGTGTAGCTACACTAAAGCAAGATCTGGTACCTGATGCTCAGAGTCACAGCAGAGCTGAAGCTCACTCGTAGCTGTTGGATAGTGAGCTCTGCAAGGACCTAAGGAAACTACAGAGAGTCAATATAAGTGACATTAAGTTCTTGGTGCTGGAAATGAGGGAAACATCTCTAGCTGTCAGAGCATAGAAGGGATGGAACAGGCTTCTGGGAGGGGTAACACAAGTTCAACTGTCAACACTGTTCCCTAAGGCAGTGTGCTACACACCAAAGTATTTTCTCTGCCTTCTTGACATCAGACTTCCCTCTCGTCTTAGCTCGATTTTTGAGAGATGTACTCAGATGAAATCTCTGAGACTGGAAGAAGGCATGAATCAAGTGAGGATTATAGAAGATCCAAAAATGACCACAGCAGGACTGAGGATGAGATGGAATCAAACAGAAACCAGGGAACAAGTTATTGATGTAATGCTAGTACTGCAGCAGCATCACATCTTGTGCTTCCAAAGGCCTCCTCAGTGTGGCTGATCTCAAATCACCCTCCCAACTCTCAATTGTGTCTACAAGCTGCTGCTTCTAGGCAAAAAACATGGAAGGTGTTTGTTCTGCTGGATTGACATCAGCTTTTCCTGTGCAAATTGTACAGCTTGACAAATGGTACATGTTGCTGTGGGTAGACGAATCTCAATAAAGCTGGGAAGACCATCCACTCTCTTTTATTTAAGGTAATAAGACAATGACCCTTCAATCTTTTATAAAAGCAGGTATTTATTCTCACGGGAGCTTCTGTTAGAAGGTAAGTCCATATCATTTCCCATGACAAATGCAGAATTTGAGCTGAAATGCACAGCACATATCCTTAACTCTTCTCTCATGAAGTAACTTCACTTAGAAGACAATTTTCAGGGCTCTAATCCAACTCCCTATTCAAAGCATGACTGGCTTCAAAATCTGATGAGGGTACTCAATGCCTTGCCCAGGTGAGTTTTGAAAATCTCCAAGGCTAGAAATCACACCACCTCTCATTGTAATTTTTCTCTTTGTATCCAGATGGACTTGTCCTTGCTGCATCCTGTGACCCTGGACCCTTGTCCTTGCACTGTGTGCCTTGTTTGGCTCTGTGCTTTCCAGCAACTATTCTCCATGACAGACCCCATATACCAGGCACACCATGATCTGTGAGGAGTGTGCTCCACCGGACAGCTGTGGGCAGGGGCTCAGAGATGGCACTGCAGCTGGGACTGTGCCACCACACAAGTGTTAAACACCAGGGAACTCCAGGACTGGGCACTTTCCCTACCTGCATCCAGGCATCTGATTCTGCCCCCAAACTGGAGTAAACCCAGATTGTAATGCTGGTGCATGACAGCACACTTTCCCAGCTTTCACAGCACTGAAAACACTCCTGAAAGAATGTGCAAAGTAGAGGCTGGAACTGTTAAAAACAGACAAAAGCAACACAATCTGGATTGGCCCTCAGAAAAGCCACAGTGAGCTTTGAGGAGCAGGGGCTGCCAGGCAGAGCATTGGGACTAGGAGCTAGGAGTGCTTTCTGCTGCTAAGCACTTTCTCCAGGCAGGGAGAGACAGTTTTGTTCTTGCTTCTTAAATAAACTGGGCACCTCTCCAAGTCTCCTGCTGTCATCTTAGGTCAACAGGATAACAACAACTGTGAAATAAATTAAGCCTCATCAAGATGTTCACTTTCAACAGAACAGTCTTTGTTAAAATTTCCTTAATGATGGCAGAGCTGACTTCCAACTGATGAGGCTGCTGTCGGAATAGACAGAGAGGATAATGATCGTGTGCATCCATTAATCCCAGGCGGGAACGTGTGCATCCATTAATGGTCAATGCAAAAGGATGGGAAAAAAATGGTTCTAAATGTCTCTTGTCATCGGGTGCCACAAAAGTCCACGTCCAAAACTCTGGATCAGCAGTGACTGACCTTCCTGGGGATATGGGCTTTTGTTTTTCTCTCCAAAATCAAATTCCTTGTATAAAACCCAGCACAGGACTCCATTCTATCTTCAGGAAGCCTAAAGGATGCAAGCAAATTATTCTCCCTTGTGATAAATAAAAATCAAGGTTTAGGGGCTCAAATAGGAATTGCCCTCACCCTGGGGCAGGGATGCTGCAGGGCCTCCCAGGGAGGGAGGCAGGTGATGTAGGGATGCAGGGGAAAACCAGACAGGGGAAAAAGAATAACACTTCAGACATTAACCTCCCTGCATTTCTAAGGTAAGGCACTTCAAGAGAGGTTTGAAGTCCTGTGCCAG